CCGCGGTGGATTTAGCAACATGTAGTTCACGTAGTTCTCCATGTCCACTTGTTGCTGATGGTTGTGGTAGAGGAGCTGTAGATTTTGCACTAACATCTGTAGTATGGTCAGTAGCTACTGACAGTAGCTACTGACCATGCTACAGCAGTGAGCAGGAGAGGTGGGGAGAGGCGGGGCTATGGCTTCATCGTTATCAGTAAATTATCGTATAGGGCGTACACACTGAGCCGTTTGGCCCCCCAGAGCGTTCCATTTGCAGATCTATCCACCTTGGGACCCGTTATTGTTTGCGGGGTCCGTTTCCGCGTTTCCGTTACGGCCTCGTGTGAACGAACGGGCTATACGAAAGAGAAAAGTTGCGGATACAAACGTTTGCGTTATCGTGTAAACACCGCCTAAATCTGGCAGCAGTTGTCAAAACAGAATCGTTTTACATAAACTACATTTCTTAGCACGTAATTGTAGGGAAATACGGCAACTGCTGCTTTGACGTTTCTGGGGGGCGAGATGCAAAAACACTGCCAGAGGGGAAATGTACATCTATGCAACGGCCGAGATGATTGAACGACTCGACAAAGATGGAATCAAACCTCGACTTCCTCCACCGACGAGACCAGAAAGGACTCGTCTCTCTGTCTGCACCAGCAACCACAGCTCTGGACGGGGCTGACACGCAGTGCATTCTGGGAGTGATCGGTGGCAGTGTGTCTGCCAAAGGGACCAAAACTGTGCTGATGAAGGGGGAAAAATCTCTCAAGACCCCCCTTTCTCAATCAGCCGCCCAGAACCAAAGACTCTGACAGACTGACACGCATCAAGAGAGCAACGCTGCATTTATTCAGAGGCATGAAGGCAGCAGCAGATCTGAGTGAAGTCCCCGAGTGTCTGGAGACAGCAGTGACGGATGATGGATGGAAACACCACGTCTATAAGTGTGTATTCTTGACATTTACCCACAGCTCTTACCTTCTAGTTGGAGATTTACGTCCCTAAAAGAAGGCTAAACCGGAACACTCAATCCTACCAGTGTCCATTCAGCTTCTCAACAAACATATGTACTGAAGAGCTTAAATGTTGGCCATTGTGCAATAACACAATAAAGTATCAATAGCTTGTGGCCACATCTCTGTTTAATTCTCTTCTGCTCCATAGTGTTGTGAGCTCCACTGAACCCACTTTCACAGATCAAGGAGTTTTACTTTTCAGCACCATTCAGGACTTAGAATAATAAACCACATTCCACATACAGCTTTTCTGGCTAAAGCTCTATTTTTAGCCACATTACTGCGAAATAAAACCTCTCACAATTCTGTAGAGGAGATTTACTTCCAGATCAGGGCTGCGAGTAATTAGCCCCCCACACCGAGGAGGACCATAAACTCAAGAGCTGCTTCTCCTTCACATGTTTTTCAGATGATTGTGCGGAGATATGGGGCTTCCCAGTGTGATATCTACTCGGCACCCTCAGGCAGAGCTTCATTTGATGTTGTTTTCACCTCCTGTCCATCTTTATACCTCAAAATCAGTAACATGCATCCAGATTACATCGCTGACAGGAAGCACTCAAACATAACATGGCCGGGGGTCACACACTGGCCACCCAGGACATGAACACACACACCGTCACATGCACAACACATTATGGATAATGCAGCAGAGCAATGGAGTCTGAACATGGGAGGGATTTGGATGCTGAAAATGACATCAGAGTAATACGCCTGCTCGTGGTCCGACCGGAGGTAAATTCTTCCACATGTGAAAGTGGAGGAGACCCCGTTTCTCATTACAGGGATGAAAAGTAAACAATATGAAGTCAACTCAGTTCTCTGCCACGTAGCTCTGCGATTAAACTAATAACTTACTTCTCATGGTGCAGAGTTTTTCTTCTGTTAAACAATGTAAGAGCTAACAGATGTCTAAGTTCGGTGCATGTGGGTCTTTTTGTCACCAAACACAGAGAGCTGTAGTTTGCAAAGAGCTCTGGATATTTAAGTGTCTGATTAAAGATATCATCAGTGGCCTTAACTCGTGTTTATCTCAAGGAAAGAACCGTGTGGCGGCCCTTTAACAGATGCAGCAAAAGCTATGAGGCTATTATACCACAAATTGTCAAATCCTTAGAATCAAGAAATGCATTATTTTACGTTTTTTGCTTATTTTTCAGCTTTTGTGGCAGTTATGTATGTTGATACTTAAAGGGGACCTATCATGCAAAATGCACTTTTTGATGTTTTTATACATAAAGATGTGTCCCCGGTGTGTCGGGGAACTCACGCAGCGTCAGAAAATAAAACCCTCTCTCTTTTCCTCCGTACCCAAATCTCTAAAAACGGGGGAACAACGGAGCTGATCCAGATTTGCATCCGATGTGACGTAATATCTGAAATGTGGACCCACGGCCCTATCAGAAACGTTGCTATCAGAAACAATGTCCGACTGTTTTGGACGTAATATGGTCGGTGTTTAAATTAGCATCGCTAACACTCAGAGCTAACCTGTACTGGAGAGCATGTGTGTGAAGAAGCAGGAAATAAAAAGGAACTCACCTTGTGGTATAACCGGCAAGAGAGAAAGCCTTTGAGCTCCATACTGTTTCAGAGAGAATCCTTGATAATCCATGATATGTAATTTCATCACCACAGTATTTAGTTTAGACAGTAGCTGCCGGGTTTTATTTTTATCAATTTTTTTTTAAAGCTTTATACCCCAAATCAGCACTTTTGAAACAGGAAGTGAAATAGAGGGATATGAGGCATGGCTAGAATGGGTGATCTGTTTGGTATTTTGAGCAAAACACTTCATAGACATGTTTTTTATATATTTTTATAGATCTGAGACCTATGCTATTGCCTAAAAATAGCATGATAGGTGACCTTTAATATATCTTCATGCTTTATGCAAACTGTGTTATTGTGTCACTACAGCTTTACATGAAGAAGCCTTCCTTTAATGGTGACAGCCCAGACAGTATCTCTTTCTAATACACCGTTATTTAAGTCATCACTTCAAGGGTGACTAAAAAGAAAAACTGCTGACAGGAAACACAAATATGTAAGTGACTATGTTTTGATTTAGTTAATTGAATGTAAATGCGTGAGAGAGGAAAGCTTTTGATGGTGTGTTTCATCTGATAGTCTGTTGCTCTGTGTCGCAGTCTGGCAGCTTCTCTCTGGAGACGACAAAGAGAGGGAGACTCCCAGTCTGCTCAGAGTGCATACTCAAACAGACGGCTGGTCAGTGAGTCTGTCCACCGCCAGACATCAGAACTGTAACCATAATTATCAACCAGATGGCATTGTGCAAACATCCAGCACTGCAGTTCTTACTTTACTAGTAGGTTGTCATTGTATTGAGTTTATTCTTTACCCAATATTAAATGTCCCCTATTATACTGTTTTTCATCAATATATTATAGGTCTCAAATATATACAAAACATGTCTCTGAAGTTTTTGGCTTCAAACACCAAACAGATCATTGCAGCATTACCCATAATCCCCTCTGTTTCAGCCCTGTTTCCAAAGTGCTGATTCTCTGTCTGTTACTTTAGATGAAAATAAGGAGCCCCTCCCCACGCCCCTCTGAGAGAGATTTGGTTACAAAGAACTCAATAGGCGCGTTCACACCAAGTACTTTTCCCACAAAGGTTCCTGAGAACTCTTTAGTTCTCATGAACTAAGTACAGATCGCGTTCACACCGGAAATTAGTTCCTGGGGGTGGATTAGGCAAATGAAGCCGCTGACGTCACTTCTTCTTCTTCTGCTGCTGCTGCTGCTTTAGGTTTACTGGCAGGCCGCAAACAACTTCACGGCGTATACTGCCGCCCAAAATCCCCGGCCGGAAGTCCCCGGAGTTAGGGACTGGCTTCAGTAGAGGATAATAAAATGGCGGCTTCACAAAAGTTTTTGGGAGTTTGACGGGGCGTGGTTTGCATTCCGCCCAGCCAATCAGACACAGGAACCTTTNAGCTGATTCTCTGTCTGTTACTTAAGATGAAAATAAGGAGCCCCTCCCCACGCCCCTCTGAGAGACATTTGGTTACAAAGAACTCAATAGGCGCGTTCACACCAAGTACTTTCTCCACCGCTCCCATTCTCATTTTCAGACAGGTTTTTATAGAAATGGATCAGGACAAAAAGAGAGAGAATCTTTGTTCCTGAAACTTTCAGAGTCTCTTTCCACAGAGGGGACACATGTTGATGTTGAAGAGACATGAAGAAGAGGGGACACATGTTGATGTAGAAGAGACATGAAGAAGAGGGGACACATGTTGATGTAGAAGAGACATGAAGAAGAGGGGACACATGTTGATGTAGAAGAGACATGGAGAAGAGGGGACACATGTTGATGTAGAAGAGACATGAAGAAGAGGGGACACATGTTGATGTAGAAGAGACATGAAGAAGAGGGGACACATGTTGATGTAGAAGAGACATGAAGAAGAGGGGACACATGTTGATGTAGAAGAGACATGAAGAAGAGGGGACACATGTTGATGTAGAGGAGACATGTAGAAGAGGGGACACATGTTGATGTAGAAGAGACATGGAGAAGAGGGGACACATGTTGATGTAGAAGAGACATGGAGAAGAGGGGACACATGTTGGTGTAGAAGAGACATGAAGAAGAGGGGACACATGTTGATGTAGAAGAGACATGAAGAAGAGGGGACACATGTTGATGTAGAAGAGACATGAAGAAGAGGGGACACATGTTGATGTAGAGGAGACATGGAGAAGAGCATTTTGCATAATAAGTCCCCTTTAAGACATAAATAAAAGCACAACAATAACTTCCAGATCGATCTACACAAATACTCAACCCTCTCCCTCCTGTGGCTGTCTCACCTGAGGTTGCAGCAGGTCAGGGTCTGAGCAGCGAGTCGGGGGTAGATCTGCAGGAGGTACGAGCGGTCCTCCAGGTCGATGGGGCTAGCTGGACCGCCGCCCCCCCCTCCTCCACCTGCGTTCGTTGCCATGGTGGCAGCGCCATCTCTGACACTCATCCTGGGCCAGGGGGAGTGGCCTCAGCATGCCGCGCCCAGCGCCTCCTCTCACCACGCAGCACCTGCAGACACACGGGCATTATCATCAGGGGTCATAGGTCACTTTGCTTTTATACATTCATACTGACAAGTGAGGCTGATCATTTTCCATTAGGGGTCTTACTTTGCTTAAATGTTTCACGTAGTCTTTTTTTTTTACAATAAAATATAAATAAATGCAAAAATGCAAAAGCCAAAGAGCATAATAAATCAAATGAATTCAATTTTTTACTCAGAAATTATTAAAAAAAAGTAAAACAATATTTTATATAAAATCTGTACAAAAAAATACAAATATGTAAAATTCAACAAAAAACAAAATCGCAATAATATATATATAAAAGTACAAACAAATATATTAAAGAATATGAAAGTGTAGGAATGTGCAAATAAAGTATGAAGAATAAACGACGTCAAACAGAGAAAATCTCAAAATGCACAATTTTTTATTTTGGTTTAATCAAACAGTAAACAAAGCTGAAGATGTATTTAAATCGTAGCGTTATTATTCATTTCAAATGTTCTATAGATTTAGTGATAATATCTAGGGTTGCAAAGGGGCGGAACATTTTCGGTAAATTTCCATGAGAAGTTAAGCTGGGGAATTTTGGAAATATTCCATATTGGAAACGTATGGGAACTGAGGGTAATGTAATCTAATTGTATCATATCCAAGCATAAATATAAACATTTTTGTTTTGTCATAAGAGAACATCCATGCAAAATGATACGATTAAAAACATGACATTTCAACAGATTTATTTGTAAGTAGAACAGAACAAGTTTTAATTATTTTATTGAACAATCATTTGTTTCATTGAAGAACAAAAACATCAATGTTGAGTTAAATATTACTCATCCCCCCAAAACCCACTCATTCAAAAATGTGCTTTGGGCTCAAGAGTGTGGTCCAGTCTTGTAGAAATCATCTGTGCATGTGATGGAGGAATGCACAGTGCCTGTAGGGGGTGTGGTCTCAATAGTCATGCAGTAAGCAGTGTGCTATGTGCATGTGATGGAGGAATGCACAGTGCCTGTAGGGGGTGTGGTCTCAATAGCCATGCAGTAAGCAGTGTGCTATATGCATGGGATTGAGGAATGCATAGTGCCTGTAGGGGGTGTGGTCTCAATAGCCATGCAGTAAGCAGTGTGCTATGTGCATGTGATGGAGGAATGCATAGTGCCTGTAGGGGGTGTGGTCTCAATAGCCATGCAGTAAGCAGTGTGCATGTGATGGAGGAATGCATAGTGCCTGTAGGGGGTGTGGTCTCAATAGCCATGCAGTAAGCAGTGTGCTATGTGCATGTGATGGAGGAATGCATAGTGCCTGTAGGGGCTGTGGTCTCAATAGCCAACAGTGCAGTGAAAATGTTCAAATATAACAAACTTGTATTCATATGTTTAGCAAGCTTGATAGGACAAAGGCCTCACAAATACTCTGTAGCTAATTCATAAGTTCTGTTTTTCATATTGGCATTACACCAGGGTAAAAGGAGGCTCCCTAAGGCAACAGCTAAAAAACCCTCTGTAGTTACAACATTTGGTATAAGAGAGGAGGGACTGACTGACAATGAGCTATTCTCTCCAACAAACACTCAGCACTAATGTAATGCCAGAGGAAACACAGCGAGATAATGAAAGCGTTCCAATACAAACCTCTCTGAAAGCCTAAACAATGACTCATCGCAGCTTAGAGCAAATATTTTAAAATGCAAACAAAATAGTTGCTTTTCAAACAAAATCTCCGACCTCATGGGAAGCTCATCCTTTGGATTGGGCAATCTGGACATAATTTAACTCTGCTAGAGATGTTTGTCTTATATTAGGCTAGATGCAAGAGGCACTACAAGAAAAATACATTTGATAGAATACACAGCTTGTAAATTATCACCAGAGTATTTGTGAAGGCCATCAAGTTGCCTTAACATCTCTCTTTGTAATCAGTGGTTCATCATAGAAATATGTTAAACTCTGTAGAGTACAGTGTGAAAAGAAACCACACAAAACATTTAGCAATCACCACTGAAATGTGGAAATATCAGACGAGATATGTGGGTGAGAAGTCACAAACTGTAACCGTCCTCAGATAAGTGAAGTGATGGTTGCTATGCTAAAACCACAACTAAACAAACTATAAAGTAAACTATATACTAGATATTTGGATTCTTAGACATTCTACTGAGAGAAATGCTTCAATGTAGTGAATGTAGATAGTTTCCAATTTGTGGTTTTCCTTGTATCTAAAAATAAAGACAAGAATATTTCCACTGCTTAATGAAACACATGGGCCCGGGTTAGACATGCATTACTCTAAAAACACTGCTGTGCATTGTTATCACAACACTTATAAATAACTTCACCACTGAGAGTTTACCGTATGCTACGTCTGCAGATGCTGCTCAGAAAACTGAATCCTTCCGCTTGATGATAGCAACCAGGACAGCAAAACAGAGAAAACTCTCACCACAAATGGTGTAATGAGCATGTGTGTTATTCACTCCCACAGACAGCAGGACTGTATGACGTTGATATTGGTGATAGGATAACGTGTTAAGTAACTTTTCACGACAACAACTTATCTCTCCATCCAAGCATAACACTCTGCCTGGCAAGGTTCCAACACTAAAGGACTTAGATCTCAGAGAACTTAGCAGAACACTAACAGGTAACAGAGTAATAGGTTTGTTTGTTCTTCACTACGGATATCTCTGATATTGAAGCTGCATTCAATAATAGCAGGCTCTTATATGAACTAAACCACAATAAACTAAAGGGGGCACGACACACTTCCTGTTCTGGTGAATCACATGACAAGGTCCATGCTTACTGCAGTCAATGAGTTCAAGCTCCAATTGTTTAAAGGTGACCTATCATGCAAAATGCACTTTTGTACGTCTTTTATACATGAATATGTCCCCGGTGTGTCAGGGAACTCACCAAGTGTCATAAAACACTCTCTCTTTTCCTCCATACCCAAATCTCTAAAAACGGGGCTGCAACGGATCTGATACAGACTGATCCAGATTTGAAATTGTTCTGACGTCAGAAACGGGGTGCTCCGCCTATATGGGCAACTCTCCACCTATCAGGGGAATGAGAGGTTGCGTGGCATGGTAACAGCATGGTAACATGACGCTCGTGCCTCGCCCCCCTCCTTTGCAGGGGGGCGTGGTCAGCTGCAGCTCATAAGCCAC